GTTCCCTAGAGTTCAGCAGATTGAGAGATAATGACTGAACCAAATCAAATTCTTAAATGGCTTGTCAAATGAAATCTGGAATATGGAGTCAAGTGTGACAATATGAGATTGGCTATGACAGAGATGGCAGAAATTGGTCAAAGGGCTGTGAATCTTCAGGACGAAGTCAAATAGTTAGGGATCTTTGAAATTTTCCATGCCACCTGGCTATCAATGTTCAGCCATTGACTCAAAACATAGATTTTGGATCCTAAGGGAATCAAGGAATGCTGTGGAAGGGCTAGCTGAAGTAGAAGACAAATCATGATCTTATTGAGGGATGAACCAGACTAGAAGGGCCAAATGGCCTACTATTTGCCAGAGTGTCTATAGAGAAAGATAGAGAGTGAGAGAAAGAGACATGTGCAGAGAAGCAAGTGGAGTAGATCGATCAGTACAAGGTGGAAGTGTGCATGAAATTGTCTTTCAGTAAGATAACAGATTAGAGCCTGGTATCTCTCCGAATACCATTGTATTGCACAGTCCAATTTTTAGAAGTAATAAATAGTATTACAAAGAATCTCAAACCAGAAGACCTTGCTTTCTCCTTAAACAATCTGTCTTGAAGCCAAACTCATAATTGTAGGAATAAAACTGCACGACAAAAGATATATTTCATGTGTACCTATATTCTTATGACCATCAAGCTAAAAATGTGAAACTACAGTGATCAGATGCTAGGGAACCAAATTAGCCTGATGACACGTTTAATATTGGCAATGAGATGTCAGTTTATTCTTATAAGTCAAAAAAAAGCATCATCCTTTTTTATGCACTTTGAACATATATCCACTTTGCAAAGGTTAATTTTCAGTGCAAGTGTGGAGACACCCGTGTAACTAACATGCCTCAACTAAGCACTTTCAGGCCACAGTTTGAATTGCCCAGGTACAACGTTGCAGTTCTCTCTCGCTTTCTGCCATGCATCAGTTTCTGGCATCCATTTTGGAAAATTGGTTATTATTGTGTAGTTTTCTCATGTACTTTCACGTAACTTTTTCACACTAACCTACTCATAATTTAGTGCAAATTTGTTATTTGTCTGGCAGTGGAAATTTATTAAGGCTGAGAAATTGTTGTGGGTATTGTAATAACTCCATAGAGGCCAGTATCCTGTCACCAGGTCACCCTTTATTTACATGTGGAGAGTCCTTAGCACTGCTCCAGCTCCCTCAGAACCAGCTCTCAGAGTGAACAAAACCTCTGACACTCCTGTTTATATTTGTCAGCCAGGGCTGTCTGATTAGACCTGTCCCAATCAGGGAACTCATATTGTATGAGGTCCACCTGACTGACCTCACTACAATCACTACAGATAGGCAGTGGGGAAAGCCAATGCTGGCGAAATCAGGATGCTCTGCTGAGTGTGGGATGGGTGTGGCAAAGCAGGTACTTTGGAAAACAGACAAGGGGGATCCTCATCAGCATTCCCTCCAAATTTCTTACCAGCTCAATGGCCACCGAGACATATTTGCAATAGCATCTTCTGGAACTTGAAGTCAATACCACGATTGATGTGCTGAAACCGAGGGCTGTGTGAGACATTGATGCAACTACACACACATGCTCTCTCACACACATACACAAATACACGCACACATACACACACACACTCACACACACACGTACATGCGCACACGCACACACAAACACATGCGCGTGCGCGCACACAAACTAAAACACGCACACACACAAACACAAAAACACACACACACAAACACAAAAACACACACACACAAATACCCTCTCTCATACACACACGCACACACAGATACACACACAGAGACAAACACATACACATAGACACACACAGACACACACATATACACACATAGACACAGACACACACACAAACACAAAGACACAAAGACACACACAGACAGAGACACACACAGACACATACATACACATACACACACAGAGACACACACACAGACACATACATACACAGACAGACACATACATACACACACAGACAGAGACACACACAAAGACACATACATACACATACGCACACACATATAAACGCACACACACATACACAGACAGAGACACACACACAGACACACACACACAGACAGACACACGCAGACACATACGTACACATACACAAACACACACACACATACACACAGAGACACACACACTCAGACAGAGACA